GGGAAGAAATCCCCCCGCCCGACCAGTATCATAGTTACGGCGGCTTAGAGGACCTAGAGTCCCCTGCCTCATTGCCTGATCGTCTTGATCGTCGGGAACGGTGTCATGGAGCGGCTGCAGCGCCGGGAGATCCCTGCCCTCAAGCCTGGACGCGCCCCTATCGAAAGAAGACCCAGATCACAGCAGTTGATAGATTTTATAACAATTTATTACAGCAGTTGATAGAGACTTTATAACAATTTATCACAGTAGTTGATAGAGATTTTATAACAATTTATAGTAGAAAATCGCCCATCCGATGCCGGCGCGATCCCCCGGCGTTCGCAGTCCTTCAGCAGGCCTTGCAATAGAGAAAACAGCCGTGAAGTAGCAGCCCCGATCGCTCCCGAGCTCCAGGACCGCGATCGCGCCTTGTCCCGGCGTGTGAGGGTGGGACCGGCGGACGCGACCGCCGGCACCGAAGACTTCGCGCCGGTCGCTGCTTTCCCTCCGTACATCACGGACTCCAGCACGAGGCAGCCGGAGCCCGCCAAGAACGGGAGGTGCCGCCCGGTGCCCCCGCGCTGTTTTAGGCCCAAACCCACCAAAAACACCGACCCCACAGCCCCCGCTTACCCAGCGCCGAAAGGGAGCTTAGTGGGGCCGCGACCCTTTTATACTCCCCTCACGTGGGCGGGGCCGCAGAGACTTCCACAAATCAAAAGCTCCGGCGCGCGGCCTCCAGCCAATGAAAACATACCTAGGGGGAAGGGGTGTCACCTTATGTACGATAAGCGAAAATTATAATGTGGGCGTGACTTTCGCGTTTTCAGCGAATCAGGACCCGCCCCTCGTGCTCAGGGGCCAATGATATTCGCGGAGAGAGGTGAGCAGGCGGGGTTTAGTGACCGGAAATGCGCCGTTACCGGAAGTAACACCGGGCGCACACGTGGGGGGCGCGATGGGGATCGGGGGCAAAATCAACCGGCCCCGAACGGTGACCGGGGGTCCCGAGGGGCCCCGAAGGCGGCCTGGCGGGAGGGAGAGCCCCAGGGGTGGCGGGAGTCCCGTTCCTCACGGGGGTCCCGGTAACTGGTACCGGGGGGGTCTGAGGATTTGGGGAGGGGGCCCCGGCAACTCCGGGACCCCCCCCGGTGACCCTTTTGTGCCCCGCAGGAGCTGCGCAAGAAGCTTTTCAAGCGGCGGCGAGAGCTGGCGCGGGGACGGCGGCAGAAGCGGCGGTGAGCGCCTCCCCCCGTTCTTTCCCGGTGTCTCCTCGGTGTCCCCCGGTGACTGACGGGGGTGCCGTTTGTCTCCGGTGCAGGTCGGTGTCGGTCTTGTCGGTTTCTGCCCCGCTGTGGGGGAAGCGGCGGCGGAAGGAGCTGAAGCGGCGGCGAGGGGCTGCCAAGAGGGGTGAGCGGGGGCGGGGACAGAGAGGACACCGGGGGTGGCACCAAGGGTGTCACTGCAGGTCTGACTCCTCCCGGGTGTCCCCAGCGCTGGAGGCGGCTGTGATCGAGGGGAAGAAACCGGAGAAGGAAACGAGGACCGGGAACGACGGCGACGTGGAGATGGCGGAGGTGGCACCAGAGTGACCCCAGTACCACCAGTGCCACCAGTTCGTTCTGCTGGGGTCACCGGGCCCTCACCGGTGTCCCCAAAACGTCACCGGTGCCCCGTCGCGGTTCCCATTGTCTGCGCCAGCTTCACCAGTTTGTCATCAACGTGTCCCCAGTGTCATCAGTCCATCTGCAATGTCCCCAGTTTGCACCAGTGTCCCCATGCCTTATTCCCAGTGTCCCCAGTCCCTGTCCTCAGCCCTCCCCAGTGTCCCCAGAAATAAACGCGCTTTTCTCTGTCCCCGTGTCTGTCCTGGGACACCCCCGGGGGACATTTTTCACGGTGTCACCGCGGGGTGGGGAGGGAGGGGCGGAACCCTCGCGCGCGGCCGCGGGGGCGGGCGGGTTTCCTGTTCTGGTCGCTCTCGGCGCATGCGCAGCCGCCCGGCCCGGCCCGGCCGCCGCCGCCGCCGCCATGTCGGCGCTGTGCGACCCCCCCGGCGCCGCCAGCCCCCCCCGGCCCCCGCTCAGGTACCGCTGGCAGCGGGGACACCCCGCGGTGGGAAAAAGAGACCCCCGGGACCCGCCCAGGGCTGGGAGAGGCGATCCTCGGAGCTGGGCCCGGCCCCTCCTCAGCGACCCCCCGGCCTCCCCCTCGGTCCCCGCTTTAGGGACCCCTGGGTCTCCCCTCCCGGTTTTGTCCCCGGTTAGAGACCCCCGGGGTGGGACCCCCGGGTGCCGCCCCTTCCCGTCAGCCCCCCGGAATCCCCTAGGACCCCGGCCCGGTTCTGGGTGTCCCCCCCCACTCACGTAACCACTTTTTAATCTCTTCTTAACAGCATTTCACCCCTCTCCATCACCCAGGAGGCGCCACCATCCCCAAATTTCACTCCGGGAACGGTTCCTAACTGCCCCCTACCCCTTTTTAACCCCATCCTAAACCCATTTTAACCTCTGTTTTAACCCGTTTTTAACCCGGTTTCCCCCCCAGCGCTCAGGAGCTGTCGCAGGAGGTGAAGGCATTCCTGAGCGGGCTGGACCCGGTGCAGGGGACGCCACTGTCGCCGCCCGCCCACGCCCGCTGTGCTCTGCGCCTGCTGCGCTGCCTCCCCCCGGCCCGGCACGCAGCCCTGCAGCACCTGCGCGGCCTCTTCGACGAGCAGGTGTGCTCGCACCTGCTGCAGCGTGAGGGGAACGCCCCCGCCCCCAAAGCCTCTCCGGGAGCCGAGGTGCTGCAGGAGGCTCGCCGGGCGCTGGCCGAGCTGGTGGCTGCCAACCCGCGGGCGTGGGCGCCCGGCGTGGCCGCCTGGGCCAGCGAGCTGATGGGGCAGCTGAGCAGCAAATACGCGGGCAGGCCCGGGGTGCCGCCCGCCGCCAGCCTCAACGAGCTGCTGCAGCTCTGGATGTCGTGCCCGGCCACCAGGGCGCTGCTGGACATCTACAGCCAGTGCCTGGCCGCCATGGTGGGCAGCTGCCCCGACGCCTGCGTGGACGCGCTGCTGGACACGTCGGTGCAGCACTCGCCGCATTTCGACTGGGTAGTGGCCCACGTGGGCTCCTCCTTCCCGGGAACCATCATCAGCAGGGTGCTGTCGTGCGGCCTCAAGGATTTCTGCGCCCACGGGGGCGGCGAGGCGGTGGCTGCGGGCACGGCCGGGGACAAGCGCGTCCCCAAGATCGCGTCCGTGGTCGGCATCCTGGGCCACCTGGCCTCGCGCCACGCCGGCAGCATCAAGCAGGAGCTGCTGAGGATGTTCCACGAGAGCCTGGGCTCATCCCGAGAGCACCACAAAGCCACGGTGCCCTTCCTGCTGCAGCTGGCCCTGATGTCTCCCACCCTGCTGGCCACCGTGTCCCCGGAGCTGGTGGACTCGCTGAAGCCGCCGGTGCTGAACCAGCTGCACCAGCACTTCTCAACCGTGCCCAGGGACGAGCTGGAGGGCGTGGTGGGCGTGGTGGTTCACCTGCTGTGCCACACCTCGGCCGGCGCGCTGCGGACGCTGCGCTTCCTGCTGGCCACGGCCGCTCCCGCCTCGGTCATCACGGCTCCGGGCCCGGCGCTGCACGAGGGCGTCCGCGAGGCCTGCGAGCGCCTGCTGCAGCTGCTGCTGCTGCACCTGCAGAAACTGGTGCACGGCCGCGGCTCTGCCAGCCTGGCCGAGTGCCCGGCGCGCCCGGTGCCGTTCCTGGAGGCGCTGCGGCCGCACGTGCGGGAGCTGTGCCTGGACACGCTGCGGCTGGAGCGCAAGCGCTGCCTGTGGCAGCACCAGCTGCTGGCGCTGCTGGCCGTGCACTCGGCGCCGCACGGCGCGGCCGAGGCGCTTTTCTTCCTGCTGGCGCTGGCCAGGACGCCCGAGGAGCTGGCGCTGGCGCCGCAGCTGCACGCGGGGCTGCGGGCGGTGCTGCCCGACCCCCTGCCCGCCGCCGTGGCCGCGGCCGTGGCGCAGATCCACGCCGGCCGCCTGCCCGAGCCGCAGCTGGCGCAGCTCCTGCGCAACCTGGCGCTGCTGCTGCAGCACCGGGACGGTGACGGCGACACCGGGGAGCCGGCGCTGGGCGCGGCGCTGGCGCGGCACCTCCCGGACCTGGCTCAGCTGCTGTTGCACCCGCGGGCCGAGGTGGCCGAGGCCGCTTGCCGCCTGCTGGCCGCTTGCCCGCTGCCCCGGGCGCTGCCTCCGGCTCACCTGCTGCCGGCCGTGCGTGCGGCCGTGCGCCGATTCTTCGCGGGGCTGTGGCTCGGCGACGCGGCCGCGCTGGCCCCCGGCGTGCGGCTGCTGGCCCGGCTCAGCGCCGTCAGCCCCGCGGCCGCCAAGGCCGTGCTGGCCCAGCTGGTGGAGGGGGCTCTGGGCGGCCGCAACGCCGAGCTCTTCGGGGGCACGGCGGAGCCGCCCGGGCACGAGGCCGCTCCGGTGCCGCCCGCGGTATCGCTGCTGGACACCAACCAGCGCTTCACCGCCGGCCTCAACACCTCGGGCGGCGTCTGGTCCGTGTTCCACGCCGGCGTCATCGGCCGCGGGCTGAAGCCGGTGGCCGACGGGGGCCAGCGCAGCCCCGAGGAGCTGAGCCGCAACACCCAGACCTTCCTGAGCCTGGTGCTGCGCTGCTGCCGCGGCTCCGGCCCTGCCATCGGTGCCGAGGCCGCCAAGGCGGTGGCGGCGGCGCTGGTGGAGGCCGTGTGCCCCGAGGCTGCCGGCGCCGAGCTGGCCTGGCCGCCCGAGGAGCTGGCCCGGGCCACGGTGGAGCGGGACCTGCGCATCCTGCGGCGATTCCGCCAGCACCCGCTGCTCTTCCCTCTGCTGCGCCTGGTAGCCGGCGGCCACCCCGCCCTGTGCTACTGCTCCGTGCTGCTGCGGGGGCTGCTGGCCAGCTTGGTGGCCCATTGGGACGCGTGCCGGGCCAGCAGCACGGTGGCTTCTCCGTGGCACCTGCGGGCGTCGTGCGCTCTGGTGGCTCTGCTGGCCGAGGGCTCGCTGCTGCCACCCGTCCTGGGGAACATGCATGAGCTGTTCCCGGAGCTGGCCCCCTTCGAGGTGCACCTGTTGCTGCTCAGTGTTTGGGGTTACCTGCGAGAGAACAGCCCCCTGCCCCAGAAATTCACCTTCCAGCCCGAGCTGGGCGTGTTCCGCAGGGATTTCGGGCGCGACGGAGACGTGGGGAAGCACCTGGCGGTGCTGCACAGCGTCCTGCACAGGAACATCCACAGGCTGGGGTTGCTGGCCGGGAGGTTTTACCCGTGAGAGGCTCCTGGAGGGGGGAATTGGGTTGTAGGAGACTCTGGGAGGCCAAAATTTGGGGTTTGGGAGATCCCCCACAGTGGGCTTTTTGGGGTTTGGTGTGAGGGGTTTGGGGTTGGTGGAGGTTGAAGGAGGTGCTGGAAATTCAGATTTGTAATAAAATGGAACAGAAAGGAGGAGAAGGGTGTGGAGTGTGGGGGTGGGGAGATTTGGGAAGGTCTGGAGGTGCCCGGGAGGTTCTTGGGGGTGTCTGAGAGGGTTGGGATGGGGTTTGGGGGACAGTTGCGGGGGTCCCAGGGGAGCTTTGGGTCTCTCAGGAGGGTCTGGGGGTGTCCAGGGGGATCTGAGGTTGCTGGAGATGGTGGGGTGTTTAGAGGGGTTTTTAGGCGTTTGGGGTGTCTTGTGGGATCTCAGGAGGGTCTGGGGGTGTTTTGAGGAGTCTCGGGGGGCGTCTGGGGATGTCCAAGGGCACTGCTTAAGGTATCTGGATGGGTTGGGAGGGGGTTTGGGGAAAGGCTTGGGGCGTCCCACGGCCTTTGGGATGCCTGGGAGGGTCCCACGGGTGTTTTGGGGGGTCCCGAGGGTTCTTCAGGGGCTCCTGGGGCTGTTTGGGGGTCCCGGGGAGCTCCTGGGCCCCGCCTTGTCAATCCCCGCCTGACCCCGCCCATCGCTCCCAACCGACCAATCACAGCCCTCCCTCGGGCCGTGGTTCCCCTGCGTCACTCAGCGCCGCGCCGTTGTCGGTGGGCGGGGCCTCGCGCGTCCAGCGGCCAATCAGCGCGGCGCTCGTTGGCGGGAAACGTCACTTCCGGCGGCAGCGGGAGCGGCGGCCCGAGGATGTTTTACCACGTGAGCGGCACCGGGGGTCACGTGGGGCACCGGGAGGGTCACGTGTCACACCGGGAGGGGTCCTGGTGTCCCCTTGGGGAGTCCTGAGGGTGTCCCCGCCCTTGGGGACGCTCCTGGTGGGGTCCCGGTTGGGTCCCGGTACCTCTCGGTGACTCCTGGTGCCCTCAGATCTCCCTGGAGCACGAGATCCTCCTGCACCCCCGGTACTTCGGGCCCAACCTGCTCAACACCGTCAAACAGAAACTCTTCACCGAGGTGGAGGGGACCTGCACCGGGAAGTGAGCGGGGGGCACCGGGGGGGACTGGAACGGCCCAAAAGACCCCCGGGAACCCCGACATCCCTCCCTGAGACACCTCCGGGACGCCCGAATCCATTCCGAGACCCCCAGGATAATCCGGGACCCCCAAATATCCTCAAATCCATCCCAAAATGCGCGTGAAACCCCCCCAAAATAACCCCAGCCCTCCCCTAAACCCTCTTGAGACACCTCCAAACCCTCCCCCAAAAAGCCAAAAACCCCAAAACACACCCAGGACCCCCAGAAACCCCCAAAACACATCCAGGAGCCCCCAAACCATCCCAAATAAAACCCCGTGCCCAGGTACGGGTTCGTCATCGCCGTCACCACCATCGACAACATCGGAGCCGGGGTGATCCAGCCCGGGCGCGGCTTCGTTCTCTACCCCGTGCGCTACAAGGCCATCGTGTTCCGGCCCTTCAAGGGGGAGGTGGTGGACGCCGTGGTCACCCAGGTCAACAAGGTGACAATTCTGGTGCCCTCAGGGGGTTCTGGGGTCCCCCAGGTGGTCAGGGTGAGGGTTTAGCAGGTCCTGAGGTCACCTGGGTGACAGTTCTTAGGGATCTGGTGTCACTCGTGTCATCAAGGTGACAATTTTGGGAGTGCTGAGGTTACCTGGGGGGCCCAGGGTTACAGTTTTGGGTGTCCTTGTCCTGAGGGTCTGCAGGGCCCTGACCCCCCCCTTTTCCTGCCTTTCATCATCCTTTTTTTTTGTCTCTTTTTCCCTCGTTTTTCCCCAGGTTGGGCTGTTCACTGAGATCGGGCCCATGTCCTGCTTCATCTCTCGCCACGTGAGGGGGGGACACCCCAAAAATATTACAGGGGGAGGGGTGAGGACCCCAAAATCCCCTTTGGGGGATCCCCCTGACCCCTTCAAGCCTCCCCAACCCCCCCCTTGTCCCCCCAGTCCATCCCCTCGGAGATGGAATTCGACCCCAACTCCAACCCCCCCTGCTACAAAACCGTGGACGAGGTGAGTTTGGGGGGTCCAGGGGGGGTCCCCGATGTCTCCAAGGTCCCTTCCCCCACCGGGGGGTCCCCAGGGCACCCGTCCAACGTCCCCTCCCCCGCCCAGGACATCGTGATTCAGCAGGACGACGAAATTCGGCTGAAGATCGTGGGGACCCGCGTGGACAAGAACGACATCGTCAGTGGAGGGCCCGGATTTGAGAGGGAACCCCGAGTTTTGGGGAGAAAATCCTGACATTTTCAGAGAAATATTGAAATTTGGGGAGGAATTCTGAAATTTGGGAGGGAAAATCCTTTAATTTGGGGGGAAATCCTAAACGCTGGGGGAAAATTTTCAGTTTTGGTGGGTCTCCAGTTGGGGGGGGTGGGGCAGGTGAGCCCTTCCCCCTCCCGCTGACCCTCCTCATTCCGTCCTCCACAGTTCGCCATTGGCTCCTTGATGGACGATTACCTGGGTGAGTTTTGGGGGTCTCGGGGTTTTTTTGGGGGGTCCCGGGGGGGGTGGTTTTGGGTGTGGGGACTCCCTGGGGAATTTGGGAGGGGTATTGGGGGGATCCCTCATCCCTTCTCCTTCTCCCCCCAGGCCTTGTCAGTTGAGCACGAGCAGCACCCGGGATTCCTCTCCAGTTGGGTCCTCCCAAATTTTGGGATGCCCCTCCCCAAAATTTGGGTTCTGGCGGCAGGGCCACCTGTAGAGCTGGTGGGCTCTGCTTTTCCCCTCCAAATTCCCAATAAAAGCCGTATTGACCATTTTCAAACTTTCTCGCTTGTTTTGAGGGGGTCCAGGAATTTGGGGGAGTGTCTTTCCCTCCAGGGGCCCACACCCCAAAATTGCCGCTTTAAGGCGGCATCGCTCCTTTAAGTGCACGCCCCCGTTTCCACGGCAACCGCCCCGTTCGGTACTTTACGTCGCCGCGCGCCACTGCCGCGCTGTTTCCCCCCCCCTTCTGCGCTTTGCGGCCGCAGCCCGGCCTTCTCTCCGAGCTCTCCAAGATGGCGGTGTCCGGGGTAAGCGCGGTCGCCGCAGCCATCCGCCGCCATCCTCCTTCCCCCGCCGCCCCCTCACCTCCCCTCCGCCACCGGGAGAGCCGCGGGGCTCCGGGGACGTGGCCCGACCGGGTTGGGAGGCGCGGGGATGCTCCAGGAGCCGCGGATGGCGGCAGGAAGGGAGCGGGGGTGGGGGGTCCCTGAGGGGAGCTGAGGTTGGAGCGTGGGGTGGGCCCGGAGGGGGAGGGGGGGCTGGGGGTGACGTCCCCCCCCCCCTCGTGTGGCGGGGGTTCGTGTCACACCTTTCCCCCCCCCCCTCGTGTGGCGGGGGTTCGTGTCACACCTTTGGGTCACACACTTCGGGGACTCCCCTGAGTCCAATTCCACCAGACCCTGCCCAATAACCCCAAAACCCGCTCGGGTTTCACGGCCCCAGTTCCTGCGACCGCCCCGGATCGGGACCCCCTGTGCCCCCCATGCCCCCGCAGTGTCCCCAACTTTTAGGGGATAAAAATCCCAAATTCCCCTAAAGTCCTGCCCGGCTCCCCCAAACCCCAGACGGGTTTCAAAGCCCAAATCCCTGTGGGACCCAACTTTGAATCCCCTAACTGGGACCCTTTGTCCCCCCGGTGCCTCCCGCTTCCCCCACAGCCTTGGGGACATTTCGGGGACTCCCTATCCCAATTCCTTCGACAACTCGGGGGGGATTTAAAACCCCAAATTCCTCGAGCGTTCCGCTCCGGGTGCTTTTGGGCTCGCTCTTTTGGGGACCCCCTGTGCCCCCGCAGTGCCGCGGATTTCTGGGGACATTTGGGGACACTCGGGGTGCGCTGTCCCCCCCAGACCCTGTACACGTACCCCGAGAACTGGCGCGCCTTCAAGGCTCTCATCGCCGCCCAGTACTCGGGCGCTCGGATCCGCGTCCTCTCGGGGCCGCCCCAGTTCCACTTCGGCCACACCAACCGCACCCCGCAGTTCCTGCAGAAGTTCCCGCTCGGCAAGGTGGGTTCCGACCCTAAAACCCCAAAATTTGGTATTTGCGGTTGCAGAGAATTTTAGGGCTTGGGGTTCTACCCCTGGTACCCCGAAAACGGAGATTTTGAGATGGGATTTGGGCGAAATCTCGGGTGGGGTTTTTCTGGAATTTGGGGTGGAGGATTTGGAGCTTTTTGGGGTTTAGGGTTTTTGGGGAGTTTGAGGTGGGGATTTGAGGTTTTTGGGGTGGGAACTGAAAGTTTTGGGGTTTTGGGGAGGGTTTCAACTCGAATTTCCCCATCTCAGGTTCCGGCGTTCGAGGGGGATGACGGATTCTGCGTCTTCGAGAGCAACGCCATCGCCTACTATGGTGGGGGGCAATTAGCCTGATTAGGCCATTAATTAGCTCTCTTTCGATCTTAATTCGGTTTAGTTCTCTTGACTAATTACCAACCTAATGAACTAACCCTTTCGTGCTCATCTTGATACCTTGTTAATGATCTCTCTTTGCTCATTAACGACTGCCCCTGAAAGAGTCCCTCCCCTAGTTAACGACCCTGCTGGCTTATTAATTATTCTCCTGGCTAATTAATTAACCCTTTCCCCCCCGCAGCTCCAACTTCATTGCTCCAGTCCCCCCAGAACGAGCGTCCCTTGTCCCTTAAGGAGTGCTCCTGCCTTTTAACCAGGTTTCCGTCTACTTAATGACCCCCTTGGCTGATTAATGATCCCCTAGGATAATTAGTGATCCTCTTGGCTAATTGATTAACCCTTTTTTTTCTCTCGGTAAACTCAGAATTTGAAGAGTTCACAACTGTGATTCTCCCACTTAACGGGGTTCTTTGCCCCTTAATGTGTCTCTTACCTAATTAATGAGTCCCCTGGCTAAGTAACGACCCTGCTGGCTAATGAATTAACCCTTCCCTGCCCGCACTGAGTATGGAGGAGCTGCAGGGCAGCACTGACTTCATCACTCCCATCCCCCTTTAATGACCTCCCCTTGCCCATTAAGGACTCCCCTGATCCTTAACGAGCCCCTGCCCTCATTAACGGCTCTGCTGGCTAATTAGTGACCCTTCCCTGCCCGCAGTGAGCACGGAGGAGCTGCGGGGCAGCACCCCCGAGGCAGCAGCAGCAGTGCTGCAGTGGGTGAACTTCGCTGACAGCGACGTGGTGCCCCCGGCCAGCACCTGGGTGTTCCCAACGCTGGGAATCCTGCACTACAACAAACAGGTCTGGAGGCCACGGCGATGGGCGATTTGGGGGAATTTTGGGCGGTTTTTGGAGAATTTTGGGGGGATTTGTTCAGGATGTTTGGGGATTTTTCAGAAATTTTTTGGGGATCTTTTTGGGAATTCTTTCATGAGTTTGGGGGGATTTTTTCATGAATTTTTTGGTATTTTTGCAGGACTTGGAGGGATTTTTTTGAGAATTTTTCAGGAATTTTTGGCATAACTTCGGGATTTTTTGGGGGGTGCTTTTGGGAGTTCTGGGGAATGCTTGGGGGGATTTTTGAGATTTTTTTTGGGTGGGCCTGGGAGGGCATTTGAGGGGTTGTTTTTTTGGGAGGGTCAGGGGTGGTTTTGGGGTCCCTTCCCTAGGTTTGAGGTTTCTCTCCCCAATTTCGGGTCCGTGTCCCACCAGGCCACCGAGGTGGCGAAGGAGGAGGTGCGGAGGGTGCTGGGGGTCCTGGACGGGCACCTGAAAACCAGAACCTTCCTGGTGGGGGAGAGGGTGAGCCTGGCCGACATCAGCCTGGTGTGTGCCCTGCTGTGGCTCTACAAACAGGTACGGGGCACCTGGGTACACCTGGGTACAGGTACAGCACACCTGGGCTTGGATTCAGGGGGTTTGGGATTTATTTTGGGGTGCCAGGGAGGTTTTTTCCGGATCCTCGAGGGGTTTAGGGGTGTCCCAGTGGGATTTGCTGGGATTCCAGGTGTGTGCCAGGTACATTTTGGGGTAGCTCTCACCCCCAGGCACTGAACCCCGCGTTCCGGGGGGAGGGGGGGGGGGTTTATTTGGGGTCCCAGGTGTATTTTTGGGGCGTCTCAGGTGTATTTAGGGTCTCTCTCTCCACCCCCAGGTGCTGGACCCCGCATTCCGGGGCCCCTTTGGGAACGTGAATCGTTGGTTCCTCACCTGCCTGAACCAGCCCCAGTTCAAGGCTGTGCTGGGGGAGGTGCAGCTCTGCCAGAGGATGGCGCAGTTCGACGGTGAGGGCACACCTGGGCACACCTGGGGAGGTGGGGGACTGGAAAAAGGAAATTGCAGGGCCATTTCGAAAGCAAAGGAAAGAAATTTGGGGGTTTTTCCAAAAGAAAAATAAAGGCAATTTTTTTTGTATATTAGGAGGATTTTAAGAGATTTTATTGAGCTTTAAAATAAGCACTAAAGACAAATGTCACGGGAATTTTAAAAAAGATTTTTTTTGAGGTAAAAAAGCAGAAAAAAAAAATTTTCAGGCAGTCTCTTAAAATTAAAAACCCCCAAATTAACCCCGAATTTTGTGGGACAAAAGCCAAGAAGTTTGCGGAGAGCCAGGCCCGGAAGGAGAAGGAGCCCCCCAAGAAGGAGAAGGAGCCCCCCAAGAAGGAGAAGCCCCCAAAAAAGGAGGAGAAGCGGCCGGAGCCCGACGAGGACCTGGACGAGTGCGAGCAGGTCCTGGCAGCTGAGCCCAAAGCCAAGGACCCCTTTGCTCACCTGCCCAAGAGGTGGGGACACACCTGGGGGGGGGGGTGGGGTTTGGGGACGCCCTGGGGGTCACTGTCTGTCGTTCTGTCCCCAGCCCCTTCGTCCTGGACGAGTTCAAGCGCAAATACTCCAACGAGGACACGCTGGGGGTGGCCCTGCCCCATTTTTGGGAGCACTTTGACCCGCAGGGCTGGTCCCTGTGGTACTGCCAGTACCGGTACCCCGAGGAGCTGAGCCAGACCTTCATGAGCTGCAACCTCATCACCGGTGAGAGCCTTCATCCCCATCGTCCTCACCTTCATCCTCCTCGCTGCCATCCCTGTCCGTGTCCCTGCTGTCACCTCATCCCTGTCCTTGTCCTTCCCTGCCCCCAGACCTTCATCACCCTCTTCATCCTTCTTTCCCTCTCTTTTCCCTCTCCCCTTTTTTCCTTTCCTTCTTCCCTCTTTTTTCCTTTTTTTCCTGCTGTTTCCCCCTTGCTTTTTCTCTTTTTCCTGGTATTTCTCTCAACTTTCCCTTTTCCCATTTCCCTCTTTCTGTTTTCTCTCCCTTCATTCTTCTGTATGCCTTCTCTTTCAATTTTTCCTTCCTTTTTCCTCTCCCTTTTCTTCCTCTTTTCTCCCATTCCTTTTCTTTCTTTTTCTGTTTTCTCTCCTTTATCTCTCTGTTTTTACCTCTCCCGCTATCTGCCCTGGTCTCTTTTCTCTCTGTTTCCCATGGATTTTTCCCGTTTTCTCCCTGTTCCCAGGGATGTTCCAACGCCTGGACAAGCTGAGGAAGAACGCCTTCGCCTCGGTGGTGCTGTTTGGCAGCGACCACGACAGCAGCATCTCGGGGGTCTGGGTCATGAGGGGGCAGGAGCTGGCCTTCACGGTGAGAGAATTCCCAAAAAATTCCCCAAATATTCCAAAAACATCATAGGGGGGAGGCGTTTAAGGGGACAAGATCCCCAAAACCCCCCAAAATCCCTAAGAAAATGTGGTTTTATTCTGCCGTTTTCACAGGAAATCTGTTTGGTTTTTTTGTCCTTTTTCCCATTTTTCCCATTTTTCCCGTTTTTCCCCGTTTTCCCCAGCTGTGCCCGGACTGGCAGGTGGATTATGAGTCTTACACCTGGCGCAAGTTGGACCCCGACAGCGCCGAGTGCCGGACGCTGGTGACGGAATATTTCATGTGGGAGGGGAAATTCCAGCACGTGGGGAAACCCTTCAACCAGGGCAAGATCTTCAAGTGAATTTGGGCTCAAATCCCGGGATTTTGGGGACTGAAATCCCGGGACTTCGAGGCCCTCCGGTTCTCCAGCCCCGATCCAATAAAAAAAAGCTTCGGACAGGAGAAGAGTTTGGAGTAGTTTGGGGAATTTTGGGATTATTTTTGGGGGGGGCGGGGGTTGGGGGTCCAGGAATATTCCAGGCGGGATTTGGGGACAGGCCAGGGGGGGAACTTTGGGAGTCCCGGGGTGATCTCAGCCCCACTTCCCCCAGAAATCTTGAATACCGAAATTTTAGGGTTTCATCAGCCCCAAATTCCGGGCCAAAAAATTGGGGAATTTGGCGGGAATAACCCCGGAATCCCCCCCGGGGGAGGGGCCGATCCCAGTATAAACCAGTGTAAACCAGTAACTGCCACCAAAACGAGATTGGGCCCCCCCCCCCCCCCCCCCCCCCCCGCCAGATGTGGCCTCGCCCCTCCCCACCCCGCG